TGTGACCTCCAGAGAAGGTCAGAAAGGGAGAAAATAAGTTTATGTACCAGGCCCTTCCACCCATTTTCCATGCTATAGCCAGACTAGTCACATGAAAATACAGTAGGTTTATGAAAACTCCTGCTTAAAAAACCTTCAGTTCTTTCATATTACCATTAAAATGAAGTTCAAGTGTCATCATGTGAGGTGCCCAGCCCTGCAGGATCTTGTCCTGCCTGCTGCTTCAGCTTCATCAGAGTACTCTACTGATTTTGAGTCAGAATGTTTGAGTTGAATTCTGTGTGTGCTCCTCACTACCTGTGTGACCTTAGACAAATTAACCTCTCTGTGCTTATGTTTTCTCATTGGAAAATACCTCATTGCATGTTCCTGAGGATTAATAAGAATACAATGCTTGTCACCATTCTAAGCATAGTATAAATTACTATGTAGACTTATCATTACTGTGAGCATTCACACATGCCATGGACACACAGTAGACACTAAACGATGGATGGATGGATGGATGGATGGATGGATGGATGGATGGATGGATGAAAACAGCATTGCATTCACAACTGTTTCACATAGTCTGTTACTTCTCTCTGATTTGCAGAGATGATTCAGTTTTAAAGGAACACAACCAAAACTTAGATGAACAGAGACAACTGAACATTTGGGAGCCACATTTTGGCTACTAGATGTATAAACTGGAATAAAAAAATCTGATCCTTCAACTATGAAGAAAGTTGAAAGCTGTCCACTCCTGAGGGAGTCTTTAGCCAGCACTGAAGTGCATACCAACCAACATTAATGGGTTTTCAAACCAGCATTGGTAATTAAGACTTGAAGTTTGTATATACAATAAGTAATTCTAAGCTGTTTTTATCTAATTTTCTTTACTTTTTAATAATATGTTGCATTCTAACTGCAGAATAATACTCATGGCAGTGGTGTTTCTATAGTATAATGGAAACTTGCCCTACCCTAACAGTCCCCTCTGTTCATATTTACTTGGGGGTAGATAATATACAATAAGAATACTTTCTGTAGGAGTTCTGTGTAATAAATGTCAGTTCCTTTGCAGGTAAAATTCTATTTCCCTCAGGATGGGTCTATACTAAGAGAAAATAGTAAACCTCTTGTGTGCAGCAGAAAGGATTTTTCATTGCTTTGGTTGTTCTTACCATTGTCCTGGGGGGAGGGTTGAGCAGCATCTGTCTACAGAGTTCTCTTCCACTTTAGTTAATGGCCTCAAAGTTCTTCATTCTACCTTCATATGGAAATGCTTTAATAGTTGAATTTATTTGAATAAGCATTTCTTGAGAGCCTTTTTAAATATATATTTTTAAACTTTCATGTTCTAGTTTTTGGCTAATATATGGAAAGAAAATAGTTGGTCAGGTTTTTTTCAGGTATAATTTACATAAAGGAAAGTTTACCCTTTTTAGTGTACTGTTCATGTGTTTTGACAGACACAGTCATGCACTCACCACCACCATCAAGATATAGAAGCATTCCATCACCCCCCAAAGTTTACTCACGCCACTTTGTAGTGAGCCCCTCCCTCCATCTGCTGTTCCCTGTGGCAACTGGGCTGTTTTATATCTCTATAATTTTGCCTCTTCCAGGATGTCTTATGAATAGAATCATTATGTAGCCAACTGAGTCTGGCTTTCTTTATTTCAGATTTAGATATATATCAGGAGTTAATGCTTTTATATTGCTAAGTGATATTCCTTTGTATGGATGTACCACAGTTTACTTATCCATACATCTGTTGGAGGAAATTTGGCTTATTTCCAAGTACAGATGATTATCAGTAAGTCTATTACTACCATTCACATTTTTTTTTTTTAAGTAGGCTCCATGCTTAGCATGGAACCCAACACAGGACTTGAAATCATGGCCCTGAGATTAAGACCTGAGCTGAGATCAAAAGTCAGACACTTAACTGACTGAGCAACCCAGGTGTCCCCACGTATATTTTTAAATGTGAACGTAAGTTTTCTTTTCTCTCCGTTAAATATCAAGCAGTAGGTTTGCTGGGTTGTATATTAAGAGTAGATATAACTTTATCAGAAACTGCCAAACTGTTTTCCAGAATAGTTGTAGCAGTTTGTATTCTTATCAACAGTGTATGAGTTCCAGTTGATCTACATTGTTGGCAGCACTTGATAATCCCAGGTTTTTGATTGAAACATTCTAATAGGTATGTAATAGCATCTCACTGTGGCTTCAATTTGTATTTCCCTAACAACTGATGTTGCCTGTCTTTACATGATTGGTTGCTAACCATATAACTTCTTCTGCTACATTTGTTTCTGTATTATAACCTGTTTCTCTATACTTTAAGTTATTATTAAAATTAAAACTTACTGGGGCGCCTGGGTGGCTCAGTCATTAAGCGTCTGCCTTAGGCTCAGGTCATGATCTCGGGGTCCTGGGATCGAGCCCTGCATTGGGCTCCCTGCTCAGCGAGAAGCCTGCTTCTCTCTCTCCCACTCCCCCTGCTTGTGTTCCCTCTCTCGCTGTGTCTCTGTCAAATAAATAAAATCTTTAAAAAAATGCTTTAAAATTAAAACTTATTGGGGTGCCTGGGTGGCTCAGTTGGTTAAGTGTCTACCTTCAGCTCAGGTCATGATCCCAGGGTCCTGGGATCCAGTCCCGCATCGGGCTCTCTGCTCAGTGGGGAGCCTGCTTCTCTGTCTCCTGCTCCCCCTGCTTGTGCTCACCCCTGCTCGCTTGTGTGCTCTCTGTCAAATAAATAAAATCTTTAAAATATTAATACTTATTTATATTTGCTGCCACTGAATAAAAATACGTTTGTTTTTAAATTACTACCCTTGAATCCTAAGACCTCTAGATCTACTTATTCAGGTAGTTTTGTCGATTCCTATGCAAACCATTATGTCATCTGAAAAGACAGTGTTGCTTCTTTCCTGATTATGACATCTTTTATTTCTTTTTCTCATGTTAATGTTTATGAACTATGGTAAAATATTGAAAAGAACTTATGAGACTGGGCATCTTTGTTCTTGATATCAGAGGAAAAGTAGTCAATATTTTACCATTACGTATGATGGCAGCTGTACATTTTTCATAGATGCCCTTTACCAGATTAAGGAAGTCTCCTAATCTTAGTTTTCTTTTTTTTTAACTTTATTTTTTAATTTAATTTTGTTAGTCACCATACAACACATTGCTAGTTTTTGTTGTAGTGCTCCATGATCTTAGTTTTCTGAGAGTTATAGTCATTAATAAGTGTGGAATTTAAGTGTTTTTTCTGCATCTATTGGGATGATCATACAGTCTTCTTTTTTAGTCTGCTAATATGGTGAATAACAATGATTGGCTTTCAAATATTAAATCTATCTTGCATTCCTGGGATAAACCAAACTTGATCAAAATCCAGTTTGCTGGATTTGGTTTGCTAATATTTCATGAAATATATGTTTTTCTAGGTTCATGTGGATATTGATGTATAAATTCTTTTTTTGGTTATATCTATTTCAGGTTATCAGTTGTCATGCTGGCCCCAAATTAGAGGATGTTTCCTACTCTATTTTCTGAACAAAAATTATAGAAGATTGGTGTTATGTCTTCCTTAAGTGATTGATAAATTTGACCACTAAAACCATTTGGGCCTGGAATTATCTTTGTGGGAAGTTGGTTGTGAACAAACTTCAATTTCTTTAGTAGTAAAGGACTATTTAGATTTTTTAATTTCATCCTGTTTCAGTTTTGATGTATGTTTCAAAGAATTTGTCCATTTCATCCCCAGTGCAAATTGTCAGTAAAATTGTCCATAATGTCTTCTATTATCCTGTTAATGTCTTACGTCTGTAGTGCTATGCTCTTTCACATTGAATTCTCTAATTTTTTTCTTGCACAGGCTAGTAAGGATATATGAATATATTCATTGCCACACGAAGAAACATAAATCAATGCTTGGCCTCTGAACAGCAACTTGGGAAACTAGGCCTGTTCTTCTCAAAATGGGCTACCTAATAGTCCTGAAGATAAGAGGGCTGATCATTGGAAACCACAGAAATACTATGGCACATGAATTTTCCTAGGGAAATCAGAGTGCTATTAAGACTACACTTAATGAAAACATATGATGCAATTTTATTTTAATTATTTATTTTTAAAGATTTTATTTATTTGAGAGAGCGAGAGAGCGTGCACACGAGCCAGGGAAAGGGCAGAGGGACAAGCTGACTCAGGGAGTCCAACCGCAGGGCTCCATCCCAGGACCCTGGGATCATGACCTGAGCCAAAGGAAGACGCTTAACTTATTGAGCCACCCAGGTGCCCTGATTTTTTAATTTTTTTTAAAGATAATTGGCAAATTAATTGGAAGTGTCCCTTTTTAAGGATTTAGGGCTTTACTCCTACTCCTTTGCTACTTTATTTACTCTTCTCAGCCTTGGAAAAAACGAAAGAACTGCATCAAATCCAAGTTCTTCATTTTGCAGCTGCAATAGCCTTCAGACTTCACAAAAACCAGGTGGGAAAATAAAATATGCCCAGTAATTTCAACGAACTAGAGGGTTTAATTTAGAACTAGTGTGTCTGAAACCCTCTGCTCAGGTCTTGAGGAAAGGGAAGAGTATTAACACTCACTGAGCATTCCCTCCTTGCTGGGAAGTAACATGACATTAAAGCCTGGCAACCCCCTGTAATAGGTTTTATTGACAGTCTCATTCTACAAAGGAAAAGAGCGACACTTGCCCAAGATCACACGGGCATGCAACGCAGATGGGCGTCTGACTACCTCAGGGCAAGAGAGAGGTGTAGGGAGATGTAGTTAAAAGATATACAAGACCCAGGTGCCTCGAATTCCCCAGAAGCACCGCCTGCAGAGTACCTCGGCTTCAGAGGCGCGGAAAAACCGCCCTCTGCTTCTTGCCCGGTGGTAGGGAGGCAGGAACGCGGAGACAGCCCACTCGGACCCCGCCCACGCCCCACTGCGATTTCCCCATTCGCTGACGACGGACGCGCGGCGGTGACGTCACGGCGTCCGCCGTCCGGAAGTGCGCGGGGTGGCGACGACGACGGCGGCGGTGGGGCCGGTGAGCGGGTGCACGGGGGAGGCGTGCGGGTGCGCGCCGCAGGGAGGGAGGGCGTGCGGGTGCGCGCCGCAGGGAGGGCAGTGGGGCGATGGAGCCTCCTGGGGAGGGTGCGAGCATGTGGCGGTGAGAGGCATTCTCTCCACTGCGGAACAGAGCTCGACGTGCAGGTCGTGGGGCCGCGTCCCTGCCACGTTCCAGTAACTGCAGGCTGAATCATCGGGCTTCCCCGGGCACTTTCCGTTCTTTGGGGCCGGCCCACCGAGGGTCTCACTAAGCTTTTTCGGTCTGGCACCTGGAATGAGGGGCGGGACACGCCTCTTCAAGGCCAGGGTCCTCAGCGGGTTTTTCTGATTTTAGGCGGAGTTGGAAGGACACTTTTTCTTCCCCACGTGGTCTGGGTGAGGAGAACTCGTCTCGCCCCCTGGTGGGAAACGCCGCTTTTTGAAACCTGCTTCCCACGGAAAGGAATGACTCCCTTGTGGTTTCCGTCGGGGCCACTTGAAATCCTGTCAGTCCCTCACGGAGACACAGTTCACGTGGAAATCGGTGTGGGTGGGACTCAGGAGCCGGCAGGACGGAAAGGAATGGTGAATGAGGAAAAAAGCGGGCAGCTAAGACAAATCTTGGGAAAATGTTTTTCAATGCCTAGGAAATGTCCCTGGGTCATATATCTTAGGTGCAGGTGGGGAAGTACAGTGTTAAACGTGTGACTGTGCCGTGTTTTGGAGGAGGCCAGGTCTTCTTGTGTTTTGAGTTTCCTTTTCTGCAACCACTGTTCTTGGCAGCCTGCTCCCCTCAAGCTTTAACTGAAACCCACCTCTCCAGCGAGCACTGTAATAGTAAAAGGTGATAACGCGACTATAGCAGTAAGTGCTTCAGGAGTACAAAACTGCATAGCCACAAGCATAGATCTAGTCATGGGTGACTGTCCCTCAAATCGTCACTGGTTTCAGTTTTATCATCTGAACAGGAGATTGAGTGTCTCTCAGATGTTAAATAAAATTGCAGTATATCCCTTTATTTTCCTTCACTTGTAAATTTCATTACTGTACATGCATGTTTGTCTTGTAGATGTGTGGTTGGTGACCTTGCCCCCAGATGCTGAGGTGCCTGAATCCCTGGCGCAGGCCATTACTGAGCGGTAGTTGGAGTAGGCTGTGCCTTTTCAAGCAGTATCTATTTACAATGAAGTTGCAGTCTCCAGAATTCCAGTCACTGTTCACAGCAGGATTGAAGAGTCTGACAGGTGAGAGATTAGGATGCTTTCTTGCTTTGGAAGGCCGTGTAAATGGAGAAATGGAGGCTTAATGTTTTTTAGTCAACACTCAGGTTTGTTTTTTTTTTTTTTTTTTTTGCTGTTGAGCTAACAAAAGAAAGGTTTACTATGGGTAATCCCAAACTATAGCCAAACATAAAAGATTCAGGCAGTGACTTCAATTAAAAAACATGGCTTTTCTGTATGTTATGCTAATTACTTTATAGATAGGTTACAGAATTGGGCCTACTAACTTAATGAATAGATACATTTTTTCTTGTTTTGTGGATGAGGAAGGAGACTGAGGAATGTGCCAACATTTTTATAATAACTAGAGAGCTGCATTTTGAACTTGGGTAGTCTGCTTTCAGTACCCAGCTTGTAACCATCAAGCTATATTTCCTCCTTAGTCATAAGTGCTTTCTGAGTGAACTGAAGGCAGAAGGAAATAGGAGTTCCTTCCATTTGTGCACATACAAAACTTACCTGGAAGGGGCACAGGAAATGACTTAAGCTAAGTCCCTGATTACAGCAGCTTCATGTTGCTTGTCACAGTCTTACCATTCCTTACATTGGTCCTCAGAATCAGCTATGCTGTTACTGAAGCAGCCACACAGCTGCATTCCAAAGCCTCTGGTATTTTAGTGGCCCTTAAGAAATACACAAAGGTATGTGTTTGTAGAAACATGACCTATACAGTGGCATGCAACCCTGGCTGTCCATTAGGTTCACCTGGGGAGCTTTTAAAATACACAAATCCTGGGGTACCACCCTGACCTACTGAACTGGAATCTCTGGGGAGCATGGGCATCCATAAATTTTTGTAAGAACTCCATTAATTCTGTGCACAAAAGGTGGAGGAGCGTTGAAATGACTTTCCTTGTATTCGTTTATTCCCAGAGCTACTTTTCTATTCTTGAATTTAGATGATTTTTTAGATACATGTCAGAGGTCAGTGGTCCAGAACTTGTTGATTCATATAGATTCTTCATGTGATCTTGAAGTGGAGGGTCTAAAGCTGATACTTCACTCTGAGTTGTAATTACAGTGAAAAAGTGTAGAAACTCCAGTCCAATAGACATATCAGTCACATGTCCAATGTATACTTTTCTAGTAGCCACATTAAAGATAAAAAGAAATGGGTGAAATTAATTTTAGTAATTATTTTAGTATAGCATTTCATCAACTACATTTAAGATACCATCATTTTAATATAAAATTTATGTAAAATTATTAATGAGGTATTTCACATCTTTCCTTGCAAGTCCTTGAAATCTGGTGGTTAGCACATCCCGACCGTCTTAATTCAGACTCACCACATTTTAAGTGCTCAGTTCAGTAACCATATGTGCCTACTGTTTGAACAGCACAAGTTTAGAAGCTCCAAATCTGAGTTGAATTCAAGCTTGTTCTTTCTTTATATGCCTTTCCCAGCTCCTAATCTTCCCACCTTCAGTTGCAAGAGGCCTCTTGGAAGAAAGGTGCCAAATGCTTGGATGTAGGTAATTAACCCTTGGTGGCCTGTTTCAGGTCCTTCTGCATTTTTCTTTTGGAAACAAGGCTCTGGATATTGATTGCTATAGGTTCTTGAACATCTTTTATTTTAACAATTTCATTTGGCTTACTAACCCTTACCTCAAGAGTTGAATTGTCTCCATCTTGAGAGGTGAAATCCTATGGATTTAGAAACTTAGTACGGTGGGAAGATACAGATCTATTTACCGCCAGGGTCTTGTCCTCCAAAGCCTGGCAAATGGTAGCACGGACATATTCTTTTTTTTTTTAAAGATTTTATTTATTTTTGACAGTGTACAAGCAGGGGAAGCAGAGGGAGAGGGAGAAGCTCCCTGAGCAGGGAGCCCGATGTGGGGCTCGATCCCAGGAACCTGGGATCATGACCTGAGCTGAAGGCAGATGCCTAGCTGTCCAAGCCACCCAGGTGCCCCAGCACGGACATATTCTAAAGTTGACTTTTTTAGGTTAGAGTGGAAGTGGCAAGAATGGAATCTTTTAGTGCAAAGCTCATCAGTTAGAAAATCAAATAATTGGTTTTATTTGGTTTTTGCTACTTTCTAAAGACTTGCGTGTTCTGGTAAAATAAGATATTCTGCATGAAAACAATGCACAAACACATACACACAAATGATGGCTGTTGGATGGTGATACTGTGCAGTTGAATACTATACCAGTTCTCAAATCCTAATAGGTGCTTTGCCACATGTGAAATTAGTTTCCAGTATGCAAGACTTAGGGAAGCTAGGGTAGTGGATTATCTGTACACTGTATAGGATTTTATAATTTGTCAGTTTATTTCATGTAATTTATTTTTCCTTTTGCTTGAGGGCAACATTGTAGAGGCATGCTAGGGGCATATGAGATTTTTTTCTCCATCCTATGCATGAGACTGAAGTTCCAAACATTGATTTTTTTCCTAAGTTAACGTGGTTAGTGGACAAGCCAGGACTTCTTTGGCTGCTTGGCTGTGGTCAAATACTGGGCATTAGCACTCAGTGGTTAGCTTTTAAGTGCTTTGGTATGTGCTGTCATAAGGCCATCATTGTAACTTTTGGGACAGTAGGAACACCTGATCACTCTTCAAGTTTGGGAGATCCTGGAAAAACTGAAGAACAGTTCGTTTATTTTTTGGTAGGAATAGTCATGACATAAAATGGTCTTCCCATTTTAGTTGCACTTTCTGTACCCCCTTCCTCCAAAACTTAAAATTCAAAATTGTAGAGGGAAGAAGTTAATGAAAATTAGATTGAAAATTAAAATAAAAAAATAGACAATCGTAAAAATTTTCTGACATATAATATCATGGTCCTTTGGATTGCTAACAATAATAATTAAAAATAGCTTACTATCAGCTGTGGCAGTTGAAGCAGATTAATAGCTTTGGAATGATGAAATTATGCATTTCTTGAGTCTCAGGCTTAAATTTACAATTAAATTTAGCTGCATTAGGTATTTTTTTCTGAGTATGTAGTTTACAAAATTCATTGAAATGTGGATTTCTGTAAGATTGAAGATACCAGTAATTGAGGAAAAGGAGTGTCTAAGCTTGATAATCCCTATTCTTTTAGGTCAGCATAAAGTCATTGCATTTCTTACAGTTTTTGTGACTGTTCCACATGGGCACATTTTTTGCCTTAGTACGCCTTTCTCAGTGGTATTATGTTAGAATTGTGAGTTTTTGGGAAATAGTTATCTATTTCCATATGGCTAATCAAGATGATGAATAGATTACTTTCAACTCTGTATCTCTGTGTAATGCGGTTAATTGATTAGGTGACTTTGAACTTAAAATTTTGGTCGAGCTAGCATGGGAATCTTAAAACAGGTGATCTTGTATTCAGTCTTGACCTTCTTCATCCTGTTAAAGTAGGTTCAAGTGAAAGTAAAACTTACTCATTTTTTGCATTTCAAAATAGTTTCTCACTGTATTGAAGGAAGAAAACCTTTAAAAAATACATTTCCAATGAGGTCACTCTGTTTTTTTTTTTAATTTTTTTTGAAGCAGGGATATCACAATTAGGTTCCATTGTGAGCCACATTGGTGTAAAGATAAGTAGGATAAGTATTCTACCCTGAGAATGAACAGGTAATTTTAATATAATTAGTATGCATAAAAAATAGGCTCCTCTCATAGCTTAGAGGAAATTGATTTAACTCCACCAGCAGGAGAGGCTTCCTAAACTGAATCACAAAAGATGAATAAGGATGTGCTAGATCAGTGTTTTCCTCATTGTGGGTAGTAACCCACTAGTCGACCTTAAAGTCAATTTAGTGGTCATGACCAGCATTAGAAAAACAGAGGAAAAGAGGGTAGAATAGATGAGATCGTGTGGTATGACATCCTGAAAGTTCGGTTTAGGTATGAGTGACTGACATGCAAAATGTCTTTCTGGTGTGGGTTGTGCACCAAGACATTTCATGGCCAGCTGCTTAGCGAGGTGAGTAAGCTGGGAAGGTGAAGTGATCTTTGCAAGCAAAGTTACAGAGAGAAACTACAGGGAGAGTTTGAGTGTAAAGCGCGATGCAGAGATTTGTGAGAGAGGAGACAGAACTGGGTCAGGAGGCCCTTGTATAATGTACCGCAGAAATGTGGATATTGTGCTGGGAGTAGTCAGAGGAACAGTGGCATAGCCTAATCAAGCGAGTGATTTAGAACCCTCTGTCTAGACGGTGGAAGCTGGATTTAAGGGGGCTGATGTAGCACTCTTGTTCAGGAAGGAGATGAAGAGGCCCTGAACTAGGGAGAAATGAGGATAGAGTCCAGAAATAGTTTGGCAGTCCTTAACTTTTTGGGTCATGGACCTCTATAAATCTCATGAAAACTGGACTAACATATATGGTTTTTTGTTTTGTTTTTGGTTTTTTTGACTACCATACATGGTTTTTATATTTTATTTTAAGAGACCATGAACCCTATATGAAGGAACCCTTAATAGGGACATATAGTCAGTAGGACTTGATTAGAAATGTGGAGTGAGGGCGCCTGGGTGGCTCAGTTGGTTAAGCGACTGCCTTCGGCTCAGGTCATGATCCTGGAGTCCCTGGATCGAGTCCCGCATCGGGCTCCCTGCTCGGCGGGGAGCCTGCTTCTCCCTCTGACCCTACCCCCTCTCATGTGCTCTCTCTCATTCTCTCTCTCTCAAATAAATAAATAAAATCTTTAAAAAAATAAAAATAAAAAAAAAAAAAAGAAATGTGGAGTGAAAGGAAGATGAACAACACATACTCTTGGAAAGGACTTAGGATGGTCTGGGACAGCCAGAAATTTAGGCCAGAAGGTAAATGGAGGGAGCATTTGTTACTTTGTAGCAGATCATTGTAGGTTGTCTCCAGAGAGTTGGGCTGAAGGTTTAGGAAGAATAGGTAGAGGAAGAGGATGAGCAAGCACAGATTTAGGGTAGGGATGGAGGTTAACATACTGGCTTGTGATTAGGGATGTCAGAACTCTGATGTATTTAGCTCAGTGCTCAGGTCAGTGCCCTCCAGCCAGAGACCAGGTGAGTTGTTAGGAGAACACTGACCATGGAGAACCTTGGAGTATCTCAGCCAAAGGTTTTTAGAAAGGACTTCTTGTAGGGTTTGTGCTTGTATCATATTTTGGGGCAGGTATAAGAAGTACAGTTTTCCTGTGGGTTAGGTGGTATCAGGAAGCAAGGATAAATCTGCGATGGGTGTCTTAATTCTTACCTAGAAGGTGAGAACACAGCTCTCTGCTCTGTTAACCGGTGGATAAATAAGAAGTCACACATATTATTAATTGTCATAAGGTGGTGTCTTTGATAGTATTCATGTCTTCTGTGTTCAGACAGGATTACTAGTTGTCTTGTTTTAACCGATCCATCATGGTCACCGAGTGGACTTGTCTGATGTGGATGTTCTCTGACATTGTTTGGGTTCAACAGGAGAATACCAGGGCCCAGTTATGGGTGCCAGGCCACCTTTTGGAAATACCAAGGCTCAGGGGGTTGTATAAGGCCAGTTTCTGGATGTCATTCTCCCTAGGTGCCATATGATGTCCTTTGGTCATGAGTAATTAACAATGGACTTTGTCTTATCTTGTACCTAGAGGAGTCCACTCTGGGTCTCCTGTATTGAGGCCCTCACAGTAGTTTGAGCCTTCCTATGGCTTTTCTAGAGCACAGAGAGGAGCAGAAATAAACATTGTATGCAGATTATTTCTTGAGGGATTCTTAGCTGTAACGTTATCATACCTGGGGTGATAGACTAATGTTGTTTGACAGTTTCATAGTTTCATGCATGAACGTTATAGCCTCAGCATCAGTACACAAAGAGAAATAGGTCTAAGAACACCTGACGTTTCTGAAGTATGCACATAAACTTGGGAGAAAAAGCAGAATTCTTCACTTTTTGGTTATAATTCAAATGTATATCGGTGACCTTGGGGGATTGTGGAAGATAATTCGGAAGATAATTCTGAATTATCTTCCGAATCTGCCAAGAAAAAAATCTGCAAATTCCCTGCTCTCAGAGTTGTGAGAGGCATTCTACTCTAGGTAAGTCACTTCATTTCTGTGGGCCTTGTTCTAATTTTTATGTGAAAAGTCTAGTTAAATAATTTCTGCTGTCCCTAATAGATTGGAAAAACCTTGTACTTCTATAATTCTTAAATAAACTGAAGTAAAATATATTCTTTCTCCTCTCAGAATTATTTGTCAAAGAAAATCATGAATTAAGAATAGCAGGAGGAGCAGTGAGGGATTTATTAAATGGAGTAAAGCCTCAAGATGTGGATTTTGCTACCACTGCTACCCCTGCTCAAATGAAGGACATGTTTCAGGCTGCGGGTATTCGTATGATAAACAACAAAGGAGAAAAGCATGGAACAATTACTGCCAGGGTAAGTGAAAGGTTTGACAGCAATTACATTGTCTTTTTTGTAATTTTTAGAAATTTAATATGTTTTTTCTAGTTTTAAAAAGCAAGTGACGAAAAACTAATAAAATATGTCTGTCTCTCTCTCCCTTTTACACCCTGCATCCTCCTTTGCTACAGCCACTTTCAACTAGTTTTTATGGTACTTACCTGTTAGCCCCACATTTCTAAAAAAAGTCATTTCTATGCTGCAGAGTTTGTCTTTGTTTCAGATTCCCCAGTTGTGAGATGTTGTGTGCTGACTTGCTGCACGGGAGAGTAGCAGCTTCTTGCCTACAGTGCATGCAGCTCTCCCTCCCTCATCTTCACACTATGCCTGGACCATCACGTTTGGTTGAATTCATGTTCAGTGTTTTCATTTCTGACTGTATTGGTTGCAGCTGGATTATGAAGTGTATTGTGCCTGCATCTCTTTCTGGGGTGATTTTGGTTTTCCCTGCACTTAACAGCATTTTTCTTTTCTCTAGCTTTCTGTGTGCCATTATTTCGTTCCTGTACTCTGTGACCTTCCTCTTAGTAGATGAAACCCATCAAGTTTCAGTTCCTGTGTTTTGAGCCACTTCATCTCCGGATCCCAGCCCCCCACCCCTCCTTAGGAAGGCTTTCTGAGCTTTTTACGTAGTGTTTTTAATTTCAAGACGCTGTGCTTTGGTTTGGATGTGTCTTTTCATTCACTGTGTAGGGATACTTAGTGGGCCCTCTTGTATTCCTCTCATAATTCCATCCCCTTTGTTCAAGGTCTTCACCTTTGGAATCTGCTGTGATGTTGGATGTTGGGCCATGGGGACTCTGATCTGCTAGTTTTATCTTTTGTCTCCTATTTTATATTTAAGTTTTTTTTATTCATTTGAGAGAGAGAGTGAGTGAGCACAAGCAGGGGGAGGGGCAGAGGGAGAGGAAGAAGCAGACGCCCTGCTGCACGCTGAGCCTTACGCAGGGCTCGATCCCAGGACCCTGAGATCATGACCTGAGCCGAAGTCAGTCACTTAACTGACTGAGCCACCCACGCGCCCCTCTCCTATTTTATATTCTCATATCTTTATTTTACTTTCCGTGAGATTGCCTTAACTTGATCATCCAGTTTTCCTGTTATATTTGCAACCTTTGCCATTTAAAAAATTTTTGAGGTGTTTCTCAGAATATTTCTTTTGAAAACTTTCTCTTCTTGTTTCAGATGCAGTATCTTTCTTTCTTTAGGATATCGGTTATAGTTGTTTTGACACTCTCTTTCCTCTTTTTCTGTCTTTGCTGTTGGCTTTCCTTAAATGTGGTCTGGTTCTTAAGTTTGGGTGATCCTCTGGTGTTCGTAAGGTGACTTGCGAACTTTACTGTAGTTTGTGTAGGAAATGTCAGCTAGTTAGTTGTAGGATCACCAATGTCAGTATCGGTAGGCCTTTTCATTAGGGAAAATCAGAAGAATCCTTTAGTGTCATTCAGGTTAGAACAAGCCTGGTTATTAGCATTTGGAAAACCAAGTGGGGAAAGAGAATGAGGGTCGTGTTGATTTTTTTCACTTAATCTTGTTTTCATTGTGGTGCTTCACTCCCACCATCCTCTGTATCTGGTGTCCCAAATTGTGACTATTTATAGGTCAGCCTTTCTAGTGAGTTAATCTCTGGTTCTTTGCCAGGGAGACATTCCAGGGGTCTGTTTCCTACAGTGATTTTCAGTCTTCCATATTTCAAACCCTTTTCTTACCGCTTACCTTTACAGAAAACTTGTACTTCAAATTCTTGAGTTCTAGAACCTTCTAGTGAGATCTAACTTGTTTCTAGAGAAGAAATGAGATTGAGAGGAATTCTAGAACAGACTTACAGTGATCATTAGTAGCCTTCAGTTCTTAATGAAGAGATTCCAAATTTCTCAGTGGCATGTAAAACCCTTTGCCGTCTACCCTAAATGCTAACATGCTATTTGTCAGCAATACTTTCTTGTGCATATATCCCTCTTTCTCTCACCTGTGCCTTTGGTTATCTTTTCTCTTCATTGAAATGCTCTTTCCACGTGTGCACGTACAGATCCTACTTAGTTTTCAAGGCTCAGCTCACATGTCATCTATCCTGAAGCTACTCCGCTTTTTCCCAGCTGGAGCTCATCTCTCTTCCCACGATACATATGTATATATATATATATAGTACTTTATTTCAGCTTCATTGATGGTTACCAGTTGCAGAAGGAGTTAATGGTTTGTAGTTCTTCCTCTATCAGTCCTTTGCTAATGGTATATATGTTATAAATTGATATTCAGCTCTTAAGAGGCAAACTGGAGCTATTAAAAAATATTTCAGAGTAGCCTAATTTGAAATGAAGAACTGGAATACACTGTTTTGAGGGCCTCTTCTGTTCTCTGCCACAGCATTTGTTAGAGTTGTCATTTTTTTTTTTTAACGTCAGACTCATCCTTTTTAATTAAGATGGATTTATTTTTAAAAAAAATTCTTTGGATCTATCTTGAATATTGTGTCTTTCTGTTTCAAGATAGATGTGTACTAGGTGACTTTGAAAAGAAAGAAGATATACTTGTCAGGACTCTTATTTTTTTCAATTCATCCAGTGATACTAAAAACTAATTAAAAAACATTTCATTACAGCTTCATGAAGAAAATTTTGAAATTACTACACTGCGGATTGATGTTGTCACTGATGGAAGACATGCTGAGGTAGAATTCACAACTGATTGGCAGAAAGATGCTGAACGCAGAGATCTCACTATAAATTCTATGTTTTTAGGTAATATCTGGACATAATGTTTTAATCCAGTCTTTCTGAAAGCTGCCCCCCCCTTTTTTTTAAAGATTTATTTATTTGAGAGAGAGCGGGGTGAGGGGCAGAGGGAAAAGGAGAGAGACTCCCAAGCCAACCCTGTTCTGAGCAAGGAGCCCAATGTGGGATGTGATCCCACGACCCCGAGATCATGACTTGAGCTGAAACCAAGAGTTGGATGCTTAACCCCTGAAAGCTGCCTTTTCGAGTGAATCTGCATCCTGGAAATGTTCTCCAACCCGAGAGGTTTAGTTTCATCTGAGAGTGTAGTGTATGGGTTAAAAGATGACTCTGGAGCCAAAAGTCCTGGATTCAAATTCTGACTCTGACTCACTGGCTGTAAAATGAGGATGCTAATATCTGCTTCCTTTGCAAGGCTGTCGTGAGGATTAACGGAGTTAATAATTATACGTCTTTAGAACAGTGCTTGGCACATGTACACATTCCGTGCTCACTTATTAATTGCATCTAAAAATGGTTAACATTTCAGGTAAGAAAAATGCACCCACATACATCCCCCAAATCATTCTCCATTGCACTGTCTTTTGTGCATGCCCACACTAGCCTTTCTTTCCTCTTTTCTGGTGCCCATGGCACACACTTGTGAATGACCTCAGCACCTTTTCTGTGGCCGTGCCCAGACACAAGGTCCGATTCTTTCATAGCATTACATTTTAGGACTCACCTGTAATCAGAGTTGGCATGCAAGAGAGAACCTATTTATCATCTCAACTTGATTTTTTTGTTAATGAAACCAATGAGACTCATAATAGGTGAATTAAGTTAGTGCTTTATTGAAGCGTTATTTTTTGTCCTATAAATTGTAGTCAAGCCCTTTGTGTTTAAGACTGGATTAGAAAATAGAGCTGAAGCAACCACTCTTCATAACCTAGTTGTGGCAGCAGTAATAGTGAAAGGATGAAGGACAGGTTCCTTGCTACCCAAAAGTATCCTGTGTAACTTTTTTCAAGTTGAAATGGTATAAGGTGTGGAAGCAATTACTGTTTCATCAACATGAAAATCCTCTTCCAGATTTCTTTTGGTTAACAAAAACAGGTATTAATGTAGGTCTTTTGTAAAGGTGATGCGGCCTAAAGTGAACTTGGAGATATTACAGGAAAACCTGTAATAGGATTTGCTTCATGGGATGGAGAAGGGGGTTGTATGCCAAGATGGGACTCTCTTGCTAACTGCGTTAATGATGTGTTTCTAGAGCACTTACTAGGTTCTCGGTTACTTGATATACTTTATCGCTTTGAACTGTCACAAAAACTTAAGTATTAAATCCATTTGGTGAGGAAATAGACTGAGATGTTAAGAGCTTAGCTCAAGTCACAGACTACCATGATTGAAGCTTGGATTTCCAAAGCCTAGGTGATTTACGACAAGAGGGAGCCCAGTTTGGGATATGTTTTCTCTCCATTATGTGATCAAACTCCAGGTGTTTGTTTCTTCTTAGCTCATTCTGACTTAGGGTAAACTGCTCCAACTAGTGCAATTATAAAATTTGTAACTGGCTTCTCCTAAGCATACCTAACTAAAAGAGAGAAACTAATATTCCTTTTCAGTATACTGTTTTATAGAAATAAAAGCTATTCTTATTGGTACTACTGTTTTCTAACATTTGCTGAGCCCTTATAATATGCCAGGCACTGTGCACATCACAGAAATTTAATCTTCCCAGCATCCCTATGATGCAGGTACTGCTGTTTAACCCACAATAATTTGCTTAAAGTCAGCTGGTAGATTGCAGAATTAGGATTCCAACTTAAGCATCCTGGCTCCAGAGGTCACTTTCTTAACCACTACACATTATTCTTACAGCTCAACTTTATTTCTTTCTTTTATGCACCATATGTTGAAAGTGCTATTCAGAGCAAAAGATGAAGTGCACACTGATGGGATATTCTCACTAATTTTTACTTTCAACCCATTTTTCCATCCAGGCTTTTTTCAAGCCTTACTGGATGAAGCATTCCGAGTTCTGGCATTTCTGGTTACTTTGCTTCTCAAACTTCACTCTTGTCTTATCCTGTGTGGTTTTTTTTTTTTTTTTTTTCTTTTTCTTCCCTCCAAATTTTGGTAGTACTTCCGTGCTCACCAGGGAGAGTCCAATCTTGTCATTAAGAGACAGATATACCACATGCACTTGCTACTTTGTAATCATATTTTTGCCTATTTCCTTTTTTCCCCCATATTCTGTTATTTCTTTGAATTTGGAGCCTTTTGAATTTGCTATACATATCGAAATGCCATATAAATCCAAACAGTTTGGGAAGTGTTAAGCCTGAGCTTACTATTATTTTTACATTCGGGATATCAAGAAGCATTAAAGTTCAGACAGAACTAAATTGAGAAGTAGTTTTTCAGAAGTAGTGGCAGTGCTTCTCTTCTGGGAGAGCACAAGTGAAGTATCTCTCAGGATCACCGACCTCCCCATTTGGACGGTTGAATGGTGTGGAGAGGGAGTGAATCTTAAGCAGAATCTTAAGTAGACTCCCAGCTAAGTGCAGAGGCCCATGTGGGGCTCAATTTCACAACCCCAAGATCATGATCTGAGCTTAACCAACTGAGCCACCCAGGTTCTCCAAAAATTCTTCATTTTTAAAGGTTTTTTATGTTTCCTTAGTATATTTTTAGCTAATTCTTCTATTTATACATGGTATTTTTGTTCATTTACAAGAGCTTTTTGTGTATTCTGGAAGTTAGGTATTTGGCTCTATACTGACCTACATGTCTTTTTCTCAGTATGTCAGTTATCTTACGCTTTTCGTTATGGTGGTTCTTGTCATGTAGGCATATTTGATTTTTAGGTGGTTGAATTATTTAAGGTTCTGGTGGTGTGTGTGTGTTTGTGTGTTTAGTTTTGTTAAGTAAACCCCCATGCAGTCTAAAATCTGCATATTAATTTTTGACTCCACCCCCCCATACTTAATTAGTAATAGTCTACTATTGGTAGGAAGCTTTACTGATAACAAACAACACAAACTTTTTATGTTCAATGTATTATATACTGCCTTCTTACAATAAAGCAATATAGAGAAAAGAAAATGTTAAGGAAATCGTAAGAGAAAACACCTATAGTCTTGTAAAAAAAAAAAAAAAAAAAGATAGGGGCTCCTGGGTGGCTCAGTAGGTTAAGCGTCTGCCTTCATCTCAGATCACGATCCCAGGGTCCTGGGATCAAGCCCTGAATTGGGCTCCCTGCTCATGCAGGGAGCCTGCTTCTTCCTCGGCCCCCCTCTCCCACCCCCCTCCCCATTGTGCTCTCTCTTGCTCTCTCTCTCCAATAAATTAAAAAAATCTTCAGGAAAAAAAATCCACCTGTAAGTGGATGTATAGAGTTCAAACCTGTGTTTAAGGATTAACTGTATTTTTTTTTTAAGATTTTTTTTTGAGAGAGAGAGAGTGAGCAAGAGAGAGCACAAGCAGGGTGAAGGGCAGAGGGAGAAACAGACTCCCCACTGACTAGGGAGCCCGATGTGGGACTCGATCCTGGGACTCCAAGATTATGACCTCAGCCAAAGGCAGACGCTTAACTAACTGAGCCACCCAGGCACCCTAACTGTGTATTTTGAAAGGTCTTCTCCCAGGATCATAAATTTTTTATCCTATGGTTTATTGTTTTAGTTTTCCAGATTCTTTTTGCTACTTATTTTTTTTCCCAGATTACCCTGGCTATTCTTGTTTATTTTCCCATATTAACTTGAAAATCAGCTTGTCTGGTGTCTTATCTCCACCCCAGTTCATACTTTAGACATATTTATTGTTCATTTCTGGGCATTATCTTTTTATCTTTTTATTTTTTTAAAGATTTTATTTATTTATTTGACAGAGAGAGACACAGCGAGAGAGGGAACACAAGCAGGG